CGTTTGTCAGGTTCAAACACTCACTGATGCTCCAGAAGGAAAAACCATGTATTAAGAGCCGGGGGTGAAAACTTTTTGAATTTGAAGGTCAGGGTAAATTTAACTTATTTTGTCTTAAGGGAAACATCTAAGTATCTTCTGCAGCTTCTGAAGGGCAGTACTAAATGAAAAAATATGATATTTAGGCAAAATAAGAAAAATGTACACATCTCCATTCTGTTCAAAAGTTTTCACCCCCGGCTCTTAATGCATGGTTTTTCCTTCTGGAGCATCAGTGAGTACGGAGCCCCTAAAGGGACATGGTGGTGGAAAAAAAATTCGGGGTGGGAGGAAATTTTTTTTGCGTTCTCTCGCAAAACTTTTGCGTTCTCTCGCAAAAGATATTTGCGTTCTCTCGCAAAACCAGTTGAGTTCGGACAAACACTTCCTGTTTACTTTACAGCTTGTAAGTTAGTGGTTCATACAGCTCGTACGTTCATAATGGAGTGGTTCATAGAGTTTTATTTTAAACTTGGACTCAAGTTCAAATACAGTCAGCTTTGCTTATAGTTTAAGGCATGGTTTTGGGACATTCTAAAACGCTTAATGTGGCTTAATGTAGGCTACTATAATATACTATATATTGCGAGGGAACGCAAATATCTTTGCGAGAGAACGCAAAAGTTTTGCGAGGGAACGCAAAAAATCTGACATATTTTTTCCTCCCATGCACCCAAATTTTTCACTCAATCAGATTTTTTTCCACCACCATGTCCCTTTAGGGGCTCCGTAAGTGAGCGTTTGAAGCTTCTGTAATAGTTGCATATGAGTCCCTCAGTTGTCCTCAGTGTGAAAAGATGGATCTCAAAATCATACAGTCATTGTTGGAACTTGGAAAAGGTTCAAATACACAAAAATGCTGGAAAACCAAATAATTTGTGGGACCTGAAGGATTTTTCTGAAGAACAGCAGACAGTTTAACTGTTCAGGACAAACAAGGGACTCATGAACAACCATCACTAAACAAAAAAACACAGCTGTGGATCATTCAGGTATCAACACAGTATTCAGAATCAAGGGGATGTAAACTTTTTAACTGGGTCATTTTTATAAATTCAACTATTATTTTCTCTTGTGGACTATACATAAATGTATTTTATGTGAAATATCTTATTCAGGTCAGTACTGAATAAACAATAACATGCATTTTGTACAATCCCTCTTATTTTGGTAAAATAATTAACATTTAGCAGATTCTGCAAGGTGTTACATACTGGAGAAAAACCTTACTAGTGTTCACACTGTGAATGGAGTTTAGATTATCGACTATCATTGAATATACACAAGCAAGTTCATACTAGAGGAAAGCAGTACCACTGTACTCAGTGTGGGAAGAGTTTTGCATACTAAAGTTGAGCAGCTAGGGTTTTTAATCAACCAAACGATCAGTTTCTCACACTTAAGAAGTTGCTTAAGTGTCCTTTTCACATTTATAGGTTTGAAACACATGTAATTTATAGCAAACTTTCTGTAGAGGTTCTTGAGAGCAAATATTTGTGTATTATATTACATAATGTATTATGTATTATTATATATTGTGACTTTTATGTTCTCATTTATTGCCATCGCAACAGTGCTGACTAATTTTTGCAATGAAAAATTAAGTAAAATAATATTAGCATTTTTCTGTCAATCACTGAAATGTAAAGTTGAGCAAAGCATTAACCTATATAAGACAGCAACCAAGTTAGGCTGTAAAGGTGGTCGGAAGATTTGATAAACAATGATGTAACCGTGTAGAGGTATCTTTATAAGTTTTGCAAAATCTAAAAGACACTAGTGATGTGTGACTGAATTTTTTTTTTTAGCAGATTCTGCAAGGTGTGTGTGTAAACTTTTGACTTTAACTGTTTATGGCAATACAGTTTGTCGGCAAATAAAACAAAAACAGAAATATTGGTAAATTTTTTATAGAAACTATCAATTCAGTGACTTATGTTTGATGTTTTGCTCAGCAGATTTGGTCACCACACAGCGATCACAATTCACACAGTTATCCAGAAACGTGAACATATATGAAGACACTGAGGAACAAAGAGGTTGGAGTCCCTTCTTGATTTTGATTATTTACTGCTGAAGAATATTAAGATAACAAAGCATCTGGCAGTTCGCCAGATTTTATATCCGCAGTTAGAAAATAAGAAGCAGTGAAATTAAAAATGCATTGGACTATTCATCTAAATCTTTATAAAGCTGTACAGTAATAGTTTGATTAGTCTTTTTTGAGTGTATTAACATCAGAATTAACTTTATCCAATCAAAATCACATACAAATAGATGTTTGATCTCTGTTGTTTATGTTTTTTACATTTTGATTCAGATTGCTTTTGATTCTTAATACTTTTTTTTTCCAGATCTGATGGACGTGAAAGAGGAAAATCAAGAACCGAATGGAGTGGAGTGGTGTGAGAAACCTCAAAGTCTTTTAAATGGAGAGGAAACCTTTAATGAAAAGAATGTCTCACGAAGCAGAACTCAAAGAGCAAAAGCCAGAAAGTCTTTAAAATGTCATCAGTGTGAAAAGAGTTTTACACGTCAAGAGAACCTGGAGTATCACTTAAAAGCTCACACTGGAGAAAAACCATACACCTGCCATGATTGCGGAAAGAGTTTCATACTACACAAACACCTTAAATGCCATATAAGAATTCACACCGGAGAAAAGCCTTACGAATGTGATCAGTGTGGACGCGGTTTTGCGAGTAGAGAGAGCCTAAAGAACCATGCAAGAATTCACTCTGGAGAAAAGCCGAGTTTCACCTGCTCTCATTGTGGAAAGAGCTATGCATTTAAATGCAGACTTAAAAGACACTTAAAAATTCATACTGGAGAGAAACCATTCACATGCCCTCAGTGTGGAAAGAGTTTTACAGAAAAGCAACATCTTGCCAAGCACATAAGAATGCATATCGGACAGAAGTCTTACACCTGCACTGAGTGTGGAAAGGTCTGTCCAAATGAATACAGACTTAAGATACACCTAAGACGTCACACTGGCGAGAAACCAAACACCTGCCCTGATTGTGGAAAGAGTTTTGCAGAAAAAGCACACCTTAGCAAGCACATCAAATTTTACCATCAGGCCTTTAAGATCCGGTCTTTCAGCTGCTCTCAGTGTGGAAAGAGTTTCACAGATAGACAGAATCTTAAGAGACACTTTAGAGTTCATACTGGAGAGAGACCATACACGTGCCCTCATTGTGAAAATAGCTTCACGCAAAAAGTACATCTTGACAGGCACATAATGCTCCACACTGGAGAGAAACCGTACGGGTGTCCGCAGTGTGAAAAGAGTTTCATGGAGGCATCAGCTCTCATACGTCATCTGCACATTCATACTGGAGAAAAACCTTACTAGTTTAGCTTATCGACTATCATTGAATATACACAAGCAAGTTCATACTAGAGGAAAGCAGTACCACTGTACTCAGTGTGGGAAGAGTTTTGCATACCAAAGTTGAGCAGCTAGGGTTTTTAATCAACCAAACGATCAGTTTCTCACACTTAAGAAGTTGCTTAAGTGTCCTTTTCACATTTATAGGTTTGAAACACATGTAATTTATAGCAAACTTTCTGTAGAGGTTCTTGAGAGCAAATATTTGTGTATTATATTACATAATGTATTATGTATTATTATATATTGTGACTTTTATGTTCTCATTTATTGCCATCGCAACAGTGCGGACTAATTTTTGCAATGAAAAATTAAGTAAAATAATATTTGCATTTTTCTGTCAATCACTGAAATGTAAAGTTGAGCAAAGCATTAACCTATATAAGACAGCAACCAAGTTAGGCTGTAAAGGTGGTCGGAAGATTTGATAAACAATGATGTAACCGTGTAGAGGTATCTTTATAAGTTTTGCAAAATCTAAAAGACACTAGTGATGTGTGACTGAATTTTTTTTGTTGTTCAGTGCTATGAAGTGAATAATATGAGATTCATACAAAGCAAATGTTTTGTTAAAATAAATACGCGCTGCTGTGAAATGCCACATAGTTTGTGTGTTGTACGTTTTTATTGGGCTCTAGCAACTACTTTATTATTTTATATTTATGTTTGCTTTCTTAATGATTTTTTTTCTGATCCTTGCTCTCTTATTAATACGTTGGAAATGACGCACCAAATGTTACCCTGGACCACAAAACTAGTCATAAGGGTCAATTTTTAGAAATTGAGATTTATACAAACAAATAAGCTTTCCATTGATGTATGGTTTGTTAGGATAGGACAATATTTGGCCGAGATACAACTATTTGAAAATCTGGAATCTGAGGGTGCAAAAAAAAAATCAAATATTGAGAAAATCGCCTTTAAAGTTGTCCAAATTAAGTTCTTAGCAATGCATATTACTAATCAAAAATTAAGTTTTGATATATTTACGGTAGGAAATTTACAAAATATATCATGGAACAAGATCTTTAATTATAATGATTTTTGGCATAAAAGAAAAATCAATAATTTTAACCCATACAATGTATTGTTGGCTATTGCTACAAATATACCCATGCTACTTATGACTGGTTTTGTGCTCCAGGGTCACAAATGTCTGAGACTAGGAACAAAAGCAACAAATTAAAGAATAAATAAATAAAAGAATATAAATGTTGCTCCCACATAACCAACAACCAATGTTTTTTTTTTCTGCATGAATATAATTTCAATTTGACTTTTCAATTTTGAGTTTTTGTCAAGATACTTTTCAGTTCAGTTTTTGTTTCATGTTACTTTTATATTATTATTTTTGTTTAGATAGAGATTTAATGACTGTGCATCTGCAATATAAAAACTCTAATATATATACTGTCTGATTATATAATGCACTACTAAATTAAGTCAAACTGAGCAGAACATAATGACAGGAATTGGGTCATTTATTCCCTTTTTCCAAACACAGTGCTCTACACTCCAGTAGATGGCGCAAATGCACCGTGAAGTTGTTTAGAACCTGCCACAAAACGTGAAAGAAGAAGATTGTCCTGAGAGTAAATAACAGGAGAAATTGACTGAAATATGAGAAATATGGAGTTTGTTAAAGTGGAGATTGACGACCTGAGTGATCCAGAACCGTGTATAATTAAACATGAAGATACTGAGGAACAAACAGGTTGGTGTGTATTCTTGATTTGAGTAATATTGAGATGATAAATGATACATAAAATGCATTTAAATGATCAGAATCTTGTTGTATAGCAGTTGTCGTCCACATTTTATTTTAATTAACAAGAGAATGACAGAACTAACCTTTGGCACATCAGACATCTGATACTTTATATAGATATCTCTGTTTCTTTCTGCTATTAAATCAGGGTTCACTTGAACTGATTTTATCCACATATTATTTTTATTTTAGACTGGATGGAAGTGAACCAGCAAGTACATGAACTAAATGAAGCAGAGGATGAACGTTGTACCTTCCAAGCTCAAAGAACAAAAGCCAAAAAGCTGCACACCTGCTCACAGTGTGGAAAGAGCTTCACACACAAAGGAAATCTTAACACACACGCAAGAATGCACACTGGAGAGAAACCATACACATGCCATCAATGTGCAAAGAGCTTTACTCGTTCATCAGGTCTCAGTAAACATCTGCTCTGTCGCTCAGGAGTAAAGCCCTTTATCTGTGATCAGTGTGGAAAACATTTCATTTCGTCATCAAAACTAAAAACACACCAGAAAGTTCATTCAGATGAGAAGCCTTATGAGTGTTCTTACTGTGGAAAGAGTTTTTCACGGCTGGACAGTTGTAAGCTGCACCAGAAAACACATAATGAAGTGAGAGATCATGTGTGTTGTGAGTGTGGGAAGAGCTTTACTACAGCTAGTCAACTAAAACAGCACCAAAGAATTCACACTGGAGAAAGACCTTACAAGTGCTCATATTGTGACAGGACTTTCACTCTTTCTGGAAACCTGAAAGCACATGAGCGAGTTCATACTGGAGAGAAGCCGTACTACTGTACTCAGTGTGGAGAGGGTTTCATAAGCACCAACAATCTCCGTTATCATCTGCACATTCACTCTGGAGAAAGGCCATTTAGCTGTGATCAGTGTGGTAAAAAGTTTAAATCGACATCAAATCTAAAATGTCACATGAATGTTCATACAGATGAAAAGCCTCACTTGTGTTCTTTGTGTGGAAAGAGTTTTTCAAGACTGAACAGTTGTAAGATGCACCAGAAAATGCATGATGATGTAAAAGAATACGTTTGTTTGGATTGTGGGAAGAGCTTTACTGCAGTTGGCCAGTTGAAACGGCACCAAAGAGTTCATACTGGAGAAAAACCGTACAAGTGCTCATATTGTGACAAGAGTTTCACTGTGTCTGGAAATCTGAAAGCACATGAGCGAGTTCATACTGGAGAGAAACCGTATCACTGTACTCAGTGTGGAAAGAGTTTCACTCAGTCAAAGACTGTAGCGATTCATATGGAAAAGCATTGTTCTGTGTCAGAGTGAGCAAATGTTTTTTTCAGATTCAAATACTTTTTCAAGTACGTGAGATTCAGATAAAGTAAATGTGTAGTTTGTTAAAATAAAGTGGTTTTGTTGGGGAACAGCAAATTATGACTTTAATTTTGCATTTATGCATTTTTATTCTTTGATTGAAAATCCCCTTGTAAAGACTTAGACAAAGTCGTAAAACCGACAGGAAACAAATGTAACAAAAACCAAGTTTGAAACGATTCCCTCAGTTTGTGAGTTTTAATTTGGAGTTTTCAAATAAACCAGACACATTTATTTACAAATGTACATATTTCTCTGGAACATAACCTTTATGTAGTCTCTCTCTCTCTCTATATATATATAAAAGAATAAAATTACCATTTCACTGACAAGACAACATCTGTTTATGTGCGATTTTACGTAATGTGTTATAGAATTGAACGCATTTTAATACCAGCTTTTTATGGTAATGCATCTTGACTGACTGACCACTAAAACTGAAGGTACCAGGTAGAAACAAGAGTCACTCATTTCTGGGATATTTTATATAATCTTAGGGAGTATATATCTCCCGCTATCAGGGAGAGGTGGGATGTGCATGTTTTATTTATGGGAAGCATTTTTGTTCTTTGTGTCCAACAAAGAAATGTGTTTAAATTTTGGATCGAAATTAAAGCGACACGCTTTATTCAGTGTAAACTGCCACTTTATGCCAACAAAAACAGTGTAAGATCAATGAGTCAGTCATTCAGCGCCCCCTTGGAAGCGAGTAACGTTTGCTGCTCAATTCTTACATTAGGTGTTTACGACAGTAGATAGCGCGTTTGCGGCAGCAAATTGAAGACGAGAGTGAACGAGCGAACTACAAGAGGTACGAATTGAAAACACTTAAAGGCAGAATCATATGATGGATTTAGTCAGAAAGATTAATATCTGAACGGAACAAAGTCTGTTTGTCTGCAGCCGATGCGTTACATTCATTAACAGTCGCGCTCAATAGTTAGGCTATTTACTGTCTTTCGATTTGTTTAATGTTTTCGTTTCACTTTGTCGTAGGAACATAATTTAACATCTCAGCTGCTTCTGTGGCAGTGTCAGCTGCTTATTTAACCAACTGTATAAATCTTGTAAATGTAGTTTCGTTTGTAGATGCCATGAGCTTGCTTAAATGTTTCATAATATTAGTCCTTATAAATCATTATTAGATTTTTTTTTTACTTTCTTTAATGTAACTAACTTAAACTTAAACTTAATTCACTGCTGTAACTAGAACATTTACAACTGAAAACACTTTATTGCATACAGCTTCATTTGGGAATGTGTTTTTACATTATGATACAATAAAGATGCTATCAGAACAGCACATTGTTTATTTTAATCAAGCAAACGATTACTAGGAAATTGTTTGCAGAGTAATCTGGTTTTTTTTTTTTTTTTGAGTAATCTGTTTACTGACATAAATCTTATAAATGTACTACTATAGTGTTTTCATAAAAATAAAAAAGACCTAATAAAATTGCATAAGACTGATGAAAGTATGGAGATACAAAATAAATAAATACAAAAATAAAGGGATAAACTGCACCAAAATACTTGATGTCAGAATCAGTTTTATAAACATGTTATGTTTGATTGAGCCCGGTCTCATGAAAATGCGTATAAATAGTACGCAAAATAAAAATACTCGTGGTATTGATACGCAAAAATTGACTTTGGCGTGCATATAATACGCATGTGTTTGGCGTGCATATGATACGCGGTTTTCGCGTGCATATGATACGAAATTTGTTGGCGTGCATATAATACGCAGTTTTCACGTACATATGATACGCATCTACCCCACAACCCTAAACCTGCCCATGGCGTAGCATATACACGCCAAAGTCCATTTTTGCGTATCAATACCACGAGTTTTCGTTTTTATTTGGCGTACTAATTATACGCACTTTCATGAGATCGGGTTGATTTGATTTCAACAGGTCTGGTTCTTTAAGCTGAAACCACAAGATGGTATTAATTTTCAATGAGAGCTAGTGCCACAATTCACCATATAAACCAGGAGACTCCAGTTGTAACAACTGCAATCTGTCTGACATACTATGGTAAAGATGGAGCGCATTAAAGAGGAAAATGAGGACGTCAGTGATCCAGAGTTATGCGCCATAAAATATGAAGATACTGAGGATCAGAAAGGTTGGTTTCTATTCTTCATTCTTCATTATTGACTGATTTGGTTGCTGTGAAATGATGAGCAATATAGATATGATAAATACAGAAATTTTTAATAATGTTGTATAGCAGTTTTTAATACAATATATTCTATTACCAAGAGAATGACAGAACTATCATTCGTGTCAAAGAGTTGATAATTAGTAGTCACATTAAAGCTGTAGTTCACCCAGCAATTAAAATGGTCATATCCATGTTTACCATATTTGAGGCACGCTGTGCACGTGACTTAATCTATGGAATGATATTCCAGGAATATTCAAAAGGAATTGCTAACTGTATTTGCAATTGCGTTTACATTTTGTAGACGCATACGTTGCGACATAATGCAAACACAATGGCAAATTGCGCATTTGTGTTTCCATTTTCTTTTCTGTGTCAAATTTTAAATGGAAACTCGAAGTCCATTTGCAGTTGCATTTCCAATGTCTTACTAGTTAAGATTCTGTCAATGGACAGAAACCTCACCAGGTCTTTTTTTTGGGGTGAACTAACCTTTTAAATCAGGGTTACTTGAATTTGTACATGTATCCTCCTTGAACAGAGTTTAATTACTTAATATGTTTATTTTAGACTTGATGGAAGTGATGGTGCAAACACAAGAGGATGTGAAACGTAAATTCAGAATTAAAAGAACCAAAGCTAAAAAGCGGCTCATCTGCTCACAGTGCGGAAAGAGTTTTGGACACAAAAAATACCTTGAAAGTCACATAAGAATTCACACTGGAGAGAAACTGTACTCATGCCCTCAGTGTGGAAAGAGTTTTACTGGTCCATCTGCTCGCAGTTATCATCTGCGTGTTCACTCTGGAGAAAAGCCATTTAACTGTGATCAGTGTGGTAAAACGTTTATTTCATCATCAAATCTAAAAACACACTTGAAAGTTCATTCTGATGAGAAGCCTCACTTGTGTTCTCTCTGTGGAAGGAGTTTTTCAAGATTGGACAGTTATAAACAGCACCGGAAAATGCATAATTATGTGAGAGATCACTTGTGTTTTGAATGTGGGAAGAGCTTTACTACAGCTGCCCATCTGAAACAGCACCAAAGAGTTCATACTGGAGAAAAACCTTACAAGTGCTCATATTGTGACAAGAGTTTTAGTCACTCTGGAAACCTGAAAACACATGAGCGAGTTCATACTGGAGAAAGACTGTTTCACTGTACTCAGTGTGGAGAGAGTTTCAAAGATGCCAGAGTTCTCAAAAACCATCTGCGGATTCATTCTGAAAAAAAGGAATTTAACAGTGATCAGTCTGATCTGGAAAACAATCATACAGATGAGAGGTCTCGCTTGTGTTCTTTGTCTGGAAAGAGTTTTTCACGATGTAACAGTTGCAAACTACACCAGAAAATTCAAACTGGTGAAGGAGGTTGCATGTGTTGTGAGTGTGGGAAGAGCTTTAATGATGTCAGCCAATTGGAAAGGCACAAAAGAATTCACACTGGAGAAAAACCTTACAAGTGTTTATATTGTGACAAGAGTTTCATTCAGTCTGAACACCTGAAAACACATGAGAGAGTTCACACTGGAGAAAAACCTTACAAGTGCTCATATTGTGACAAGAGTTTCTCTGAGTCTGGAAACCTGAAAAAGCATGAGCGAGTTCATACTGGAGAGAAGCCGTATCACTGTACTCAGTGTGGAAGGAGTTTCACTCAGTCAACAACTCTGGTGACTCATGTTAAAAAGCATTGTTCTGTGAAGAAATGTTATCCTCAAATATAGGTGCATTTTGGTAAATGATGTGTGATTTGGTGAATTAGGTTATTGCGTTCTTTTAAATGTGTCGATGGTTGAAATAAACTACATTACATTTACATTTAATCATTTAGCAGACGCTTTTATCCAAAGTGACTTACAAATGAGAGAAGTAGTAGGATGATTGGAAAGGATAAGTTTAGAAACGTCCGTCTCCGAGAGTGGAGAGAAGGAGAAGAGAGAGTGTGTAACTAGCAGTGCAGTTATGTTGGGATGCTGCAAATCATGACCTTTTTTTATTTTATTGTCTCCTCATGAAGACATGGACAAAGAATACAAATATTGAAAGAGACCAGAAATAAATGCATTACAAATCAACAATCAGCCATATCCCAATATGAAATGATTTCTTCAATTTGAATTTAAATAGTACTTTCAAACGATTAATCGTGATTAATCGCATCCAAAATAAAAGTTTTTGTTTACATAATATATGTGTGTGTACTGTGTATATTTATTATGTATATATAAATACACACACACACATACAGTATATATTTTGAAAATGTTTACATTTATAAATTTATAAATAAATTTATATTCATATAATTTATATTATAAATAAATATATAAAAATAACCTATTTTTTATACATGCATGTGTGTGTATTTAAATATACAAAATAAATATACACAGCACACATACATATATATTATGTAAACAAAAACTTTTATTTTGGATGTGATTAATTGCGATTAATCATTTGACAGCACTATTTATTAAGTATATATATATATACACACATACAGTATATATTTTGAAAATATTTACATGTATAAATTTATATTAATATTATTTATATTATATATCAATATATTTAATCAATAAACATAACATATTTAAATATATACATGCATGTGTGTGTATTTATATATATATATAATACATATACACAGTACCATATATATTATGTAAACAAAAACTTTTATTTTGGATGTGATTAATTGCGATATCATTTTTGAGAGCACTTTATTAAGTATATATATATATACACACATACAGTATATATTTTGAAAATATTTACATGTATAAATTTATATTAATATTATTTATATTATATATCAATATATTTAATCAATAAACATAACATATTTAAATATATACATGCATGTGTGTGTATTTATATATATATATAATACATATACACAGTACACACACATTTATTATGTAAACATAAACTTTTATTTTGGATGCGATTCATCGCAGTTAATCGTTTGACAGCACTAATTTTAAAACATAAAACAGGTCTATGCTTTGTATAATAACACAATTTTTATTTGACTGACAAGCTCTCTGATTACTTGTGATTTTAAATAATATGCTTATTCATTTTATATTTTAGTCACATTTAATTCTGTTCAGTGGCAGTAATAAAATTTATTTATGATGATCCTGTAGTTTGTCTCAGTCTGTTGACACACAATGAAATGTGCTTAATGTGCCAATTTACAGAAGATCTCAGACATCATCATAATGAATGAGGAGAAAACAGGGAACTATTGGAGAGATATTTAAACATGGTAGACCTGTTGTTTCAAACTTATGTTATTTGTATTAAAAATAGGAATTGCACATTGATACAGGACAGGCAATGAGATTTTAAAATATGTTTCTTTAATTTTAATCAAAATAGTAAAAGCAAAACATTAAAACAGCGTTTAATTTGTTGTCAACCAAAGCAATGCAGAAATACGAGTGTCAATGTAGTATATGGAAATTATATAAACATACACATGTAACATACAAAAAAGACAAGGTGCAAGAGAAAAATACAGTGTTTAAACCAAAAGCACAATATCATCTAGTTTAATTTTTTTAACTTGGTGAAATGTTTGGTGCACTAGTGCCTTATGACAAATCAGTCCATTAATACATACTATATAGTGTTCTGATTGAAAAAAAAAAAGATAAAATGCTTGATTAATTGAGAATGAATGTTTAAATCACATAAATTCAACATTAATACTGTTGCAAATGTTTAGGATGTACAGCAATTATCATAAATACAACACAGATAGAATCTACACGTTTTAAAATAAATATAATAAATAAAATAATAAATATATGCAACATCGTATAACTAATAAAATTACTACTTCACAGAAACACCTCCTTTATATGTGGTTCCTAGTAATGTGTTAGTCTATTTATAGTGTTTTAGTCAGATATTTGATTCTGTTCAGAGGCAGTAATAGATTGTATTTGTGTCGGTCCTTTAGTTCTCACGTTAATTACTCTTTCTATCTACATCTTGTGTTATAAATGACCAGGAATATCCAGTGGGCGGCAGCATCACAATAAAGAGGCTCTAGTTTCCATTTCAATCGAAAAATAAAAAAATTAATGGAGGATGTGCGGAAGAAAGTAGTGATTTACAAAGTTTGACACGAAAAAGCTTGAGAGGTGAGGTATTTCAGTTCTGAATATTGTAGCGAGTAATGAACAGTAGGATTTATTAAATGTTTTGTTATGAGTGTTTCATTTCTAATGCAGAAAAGATGTACTAACACTGTTTAGAAATCATAATCTGAATTTATTCATGAACTTGATCGGTCTGGGGATGTTTATCTTGTGTGGGTTTAAGTTGTCAGTTTTGGATTTAAGTGTAGTTTAGATGTAGTTTAAACTGTGCTTTGTTTCATCCTTATTTTGTTTAAGAGTAGACTGACGACATGAGTGATCCAGAACCATCCAGAATGAATCATGAAGATACTGAGAAACAAACAGGTTGGTGTCCATTCTTGATTCTTCATTACTGACTGCTGAAAAACATTAAGATTAAAGGGGTCATATGACATTGCTAAAAAGAACATTATTTTGTGTATTTGGTGTAATGAAATGTGTTTATGCGGTTTAAGGTTAAAAAAACACATTATTTTCCACATACTGTACATTATTGTTTCTCCTCTATGCCCCGCCTTTTACCTATAGCGGCTAATGAACCGGAAGCCTCACCCATAGGCTTATTCCGCGTTGAAGAAAAAGTTGGATAAGTATGATGCATAATAAAGAAAATGCAACTCATTAACCTGATCTCTGTTATTTTCTGCTAATCAGGGTTCAGTTGAATTTTCACGTTTGTTCTCCTTGAACTATGTTTATTTTAGACCAGAAAGAAGCGAAAGAGCAAAGACAAGAGCTGACTGAAGGGGAGGAGGAACACAGTGACTTCAGAACTCGAAGATTAAAAACCAAAAAGGTGCACACCTGCTCACATTCAGCTGATTGTTCATTGATGGAAGATTGTAAACGGCACCAGAAAACACATAATGATGTGAGAGATCATGTGTGTCGTGAGTGTGGGAAGAGCTTTAAAAAAGCTGCCTATCTGAAACTGCACAAAAGAATTCACACTGGAGAAAAACCGTACAAGTGCTCATATTGTGACAAGAGTTTCACTCGGTCTGAACACCTGAAAATACATGAGCGAGTTCACACTGGAGAGAAGCCGTATTACTGTATTCAGTGTGGAGAGAGTTACAGATATAAAAGTGGTCTCAACCGTCACCTGCTCGTTCACTCTGGAGTAAAGCCATTTACCTGTGATCAGTGTGGTACAGATTTTAAATCATCAGTACATCTAAAAAACCACATGAAAATTCAAACAAATGTGAGACCGTATGCATGTTCATTTTGTGGAAAGTGTTTTTCTCGGCTGGGTCATTGCAAACGGCACCAGAAAATACACACCAGTGAGAAAGATCATGTGTGTCGTGAGTGTGGGAAGAGCTTTACTAGAGCTGATAATCTAAAACAGCACCAAAGAATTCACACTGGAGAGAAACCTTACAAGTGCTCATATTGTGACAAGAGTTTCACTCAGTCTGGACACCCGAAAAGGCATGAGCGAGTTCATACTGGAGAGAAGCCGTACTACTGCAATCCCTGTGAGAAGAGTTTCAGATGTTTAAGAAGCCTTAAAAATCACTTGAAAAAATGTCACACATCGTCACAGTGAGCAACATTTTCATGTTAAAACAGTTGAGTAAGCTGTGTGAGATAAACAAATATGAAGTTGCTCCCAAAAGCACAACAGCATCTAGTTTGATTCTGTGAATTTTGACTCGTTTGCAGTCTGATTGAGGAACTATAAAGTTTGAAGTTTCACCAAGTTAATAACTCTTACCGTGTAAATAATAATTTGCATCTTTCCTACCGTAATTAGTTTGTAAAATGTGTCTGGGTTGTGTGCTAAGCAAGTCTTTCTTTAATAAGACACGTTCATGTCATGTACTTGTTTTCTATATTATGCTCTTGTACATGAGTTGGAAAATATTAATCAGTAAACTAGCTGACAAAAAGTAAATCTGATTGTTTTCTTTATTTACAGATGGTTTAAAAAGTCTGTTCAATTTCAAGACAACAATCATTGCTTTGAATAATGCAAGTTCAATGACAAAACATGTATCATCTGAATCACCAGATTCTTTTCTTTAATTATATTTAACTTATCTACACAAATTTTCAATTTCAGTATAAAAACACTATATTGTACAAATAGGCTGTATTTCAATAAGAATAAAGGACAGATATGTTGTTCTGAAAGGATGTCGGGAACGGGATATTGTTAGACCGCCCGCTCCCGTTCAAATTACACCAGAGTTACCGACAGTGTTGGGGGTAACGCATTACAAGTAACGCGAGTTACATAATCAGATTACTTTTTTCAAGTATCTAGTAAAGTAATGCATTACTTTTTAATTTACAAGAGAATATCTGAGTTACTTTTTCAAATACCGACCGCTACCGCGTTTTATTCGGGAATTTAATCCCGCGGCGCAAGAAATCTGGTCGGGTCCATAGATTGTATAGGTCGGGTCATGCAGACCAGGGTTGCCAGGTTTTCACAAGAAACCCCGCCCAATCACTACTCAAAACTAGCCCAATCGCATTTCGAGGGGGTCCCCAGTTAAAAATCACGTTCCAGGGGATAAATATCATGTTATTGGAGTCGCTTCAACCCGTGTCAACAGTGTTAAAGACAAGTAGCCCAATTTCGCGGGAAAACTGCAGACTTGGCAACACTGATGCAGACGAGCGACGCTCATCGGCCACGCCCCCTTCTGGACCGCCTATTTTAGATACGCATAAAAATCGCCCAGTAATAATGTACAATGTCTGTTTGTAATCTAAACAGCAAAAAATCGAAATAACAAAGCCTTCATGTTTGACTGAGCTGCTGTTTTCACCTCATTCATTATGTATGATCTTCTGTAAATTGGCACATAAAACATTTCATTGGTGTCAACAGACTGAGAAAAACTACAGGATCATCACCATTGAAATTTCACTTAATTCAGTTCTTGTTTTTGCTCTTTCACTTCCATTTGGTTAGAATCAGTTCAAGGAGAATAAATGTCAAAATTAGTTTGAACCCTGATTTAACAGCAGAAAGTAACAGTGACAGAGATAGGGTACCACGGGGCTAAAGGCCCACCTTAAGAAAAAATGTGCTATTCACTGTGCCTAAAATTTATAATTTCAGAAAAAATATATATGTTGTATTGAACATTAATGGAGCAACAGATTTTGTGTGAAAATAAATTATTCAAGTTGTTTATTTTGTTTAAAAATCGTATAAATGTATGAGGTGGCAAGGGGGGCCTTTAACCCCACACACGGGATAAAAGGCTCACAGTATTGATACAAATACTTCAGCTAAAATAATGTTTTTAAAAAAATAATGTTTAAGTTAATACTTGTTCAAAACAATCACTTTAGCAAAGTTTGTACTATTTTCTGCTTATTTTGAAAAATAAAAGAATGAATTTTTGTTCAATAAATATACTGTCATTAAAATATGTTAATTTAAAAAATATATTTTAAAATACAGAAACAAAATAATTTTAATAAGTAAAGATTCTGAAAGCATTGAAGGAGATCCAATAATAATTGAATATATATTTAGAGTAGTAACAACAAATGATATTTTATTATATGATATGATTAATATCAATGTAAATATGATGTAAATATTAATGTAAATATTTAAATATGATGGTTTCATTCTAAACATGGTGATTATCTCTAATATGGACACACCCAACATAATATATGATATTTATCATCTGAATCTAACCATGTCATGTCAAGAAATGGAAAAGTCAGCCATCTATTAATTATCATGTTAATTACTGCGCCTTTAGCCCCAACAGCAGGGGCACTTTTTACCCCAAATACCATACTTTTACATATTCTTTCGTTATTTAAAAACTGTTGCTTTAATTATCTTAAACAAAACTGAAAATCATAAAGAAGACCTTTGTCTCAAAATATATGCATTGCGATTCTCGTGAATGTTTTGGAAAGTGCTACGCCACGTTTTTGTGCCATCTAGTGGTTTAGATGAAAATAATATCAAAGGCGCCTTTTACCCCGGGGTGCGTTTAGCCCCGTTGTACCCTATTTGAGATACTTTAATCAGATCTTTGATCTTCAAAGGTTAGTTCTGTCGTTCACTTGTTAATACAATCAAAATGTGGATGACAACTGCTATACAAGATTATGATGTACTTTTAATATCTCAGGGATCCCTAGATTATTTGCTTTTTTAACCCCTTAACTGTCACCCCCCATTTTTTAAAAAATAGGCATGCAGTAATAAATATTTTACATAACAGGTTTTACTCTAAAATTGATATCAAATTAAAGCCTTCTGGTTAAATAAGTTATGTTCCAAATTTGAAGTTGATATGAAAAAAATTGAGGTTCCTGTGAGATTTTATTTAGGGCGTTATACCACAAACAGCCACCGGGTGCCATCCAAACTCTATTACATTTTTAATGCATTTTTCTGTAACAAATGTCTAGATTTCTCTGTCAATATTACTTCTATCCACCAAATATGGAATCCTGAGACTCAGACCTTTCCAATTATATGTTTTTGTCAAGATTATAAAAAGTTTTGATTGTAAAAGAGCGTAATGCATTTTGTAATATGACACTTGACACCGCCCACTAAGGGGGAGGAGACGCCAAAAGATTTTAAAGTACCATTTCCATGGTAACACAATGTATATCATTTGATCTACTAAAAGATTTGATAGAGAAAAAGGACAACAACAACAAAAAAAGAGTGCCAAGCATCCCACAGGTATTATTATTATTACAGTTTTAGCCATTTTATAAACTAAGCCAAATAGCCAGGGATCATTGTGCATTCAAACTGTGTGAAACAAATATTAAACAAATACATTAGTCATGGTTGTTGTCTTTATTACATTGAAATGATTAAAACATGTTTATATAAGTTAAATATGATTAACAATCTGGTGTCAGATAATACATATTTTGTCTTTAAACTTGCATTATTCAAGGCAAACTATATGCACCAATGATTGTCTTGCAACTTAACAGAATTTTAAACCATCTGAAAATAAAGAAAACAATCAACTTTTTTCAGTTGATTTTGTGGAGTATATTCATTAATCTTGATGAAATATAATAAACAGAATTGTAGCTATTCATAAGAGAAAATTATTCTACTATTCTGTATTTGACTGTATGTGAGGATGGTGTTTTTCACATAGTGAACTATTTAAAACTGGTTGGAATGCATTTATATTTGGAGAAGGACCCTTTCCCTAAATACAGACGCTAGAAATAAGTGCAGAACATGTTTAGAGAATGATTATCCTTTAGGTGCTCATCTGGTAAAGACCCTGTAAAAATACAGAAGCAGAGGAGTGGTACATGTATGGAATGTATTGAATATCTTCAAGGCATATGTGAATGCAAAACAAGTGAATGACAGGAACATTGTCTTATTAAAGAAAAACCTGCTTAGTCCAGCCTGACACATTTAGCAAACTAATAGGAGGAAAGATACAAATTATTTACACTCTTAAGTCAATAATTATTTTCTGTGAAGCTTTAAACATCATTCAATAGTTCCTTAATCAGACTGTGAAATCAGATTCACAAAATGAAACTATATGGTGTTGTGTTTTTGGGTGTAGCACCATATTTTGTTTATGTCACACAGTTTACTCTGACTGTTTTATCATGAAAATGTTGCTCACTGTGATGACTCACATTTTTTCATGTGCTCTTTAAGGCTTTTTAACTGTCTAAAACTCTTCTCACAGGGAGGGCAGTAGTACGGCTTCTCTCCAGTATGAACTTGCTCATGAAATTTCAGGTCTCCAGACTGAGTGAAACTCTTGTCACAATATGAGCACTTGTAAGGTTTCTCTCCAGTATGAATTCTTTGGTGCTGTTTCAGATTATCAGCTCTAGTAAATCTCTTCCCACACTCACAACACACATGATCTCTCTCACCGGTGTGTTTTTTCTGGTGCCGTTTACAATGATCCAGTCGAGCAAAACACTTTCCACAAAATGAACATGCAAAAGGCCTCTCATTTGTATGAATTCTCATGTGGTTTTTTAGATGTACTGATGATTTAAAATCTGTACCACACTGATCACAGGTAAATGGCCTTTCTCCAGAGTGAATGAGCAGATGAACATTGAGATCACTTCTATATCTGAAACTCTCTCCACACTGAGTACAGTAATACGGCTTCTCTCCAGTGTGAACTCGCTCATGTATTTTCATGGTTCCTGCCTGAGTGAAACTCTTGTCACAATATGAGCACTTGTGAGGTTTTTCTCCAGTGTGAATCATTTTGTGCAGTTTCAAACTGGTAACTTTAGTGAAGCTCTTCCCACAATCCAAACACACGTGATCTTTCACTTCATCATGAGTTCTCTGATGCTGTTTATAAGTGTCCATTTGTGAAAAACTCTTTCCACACTGAGGGCATGTGTATGGTTTCTCTCCAGTGTGGACTCTCATGTGTCTTCTAAGGATTCCTTTGTGTGAGAAACTCTTTCCACACTGAGAGCAGGTGTGCAGCTTTTTGGCTTTTGTTCTTTGTTCTTCATTCAGTTCTTGTCTTTGCTCTTTCATCTCCATCCGGTCTAAAATAAACAAGTTAGAATCAGTTCAAGTGATCCCGGTTTAACAGCAGAAAACATCAGAGATCAGATGTTTGTATTAAGTATCAGATCTTTGATGTGCCAAAGATTAGTGATTATTTTGTTAATTCAGTTAAATGTGGATTACAACAGTGATCATTTGAATTAATTTCTGTATAATTTATCATCCATATACTAGTCAAAATTTTACGACTAACAAAAACAGTCAGTAATTAAGAATCAAGAACCAACCTGTTTGTTCCTCAGTATCTTCATGTTTTATTCTGGATGGTTCTGAATAACTCATGTCTTCAATCTCCTCTTTAATAAACTCCATCTTTAACGAGCACAGATTTCAGCTGCTGCACCTGGAGTTTGTTCTTCTCTTGTAGGATGATGTGAATATTCTCCAGTATTTATAGGTGAATTGTTGTGGGAGGGGCTTCACTGTAGGTGTGAACTGTGATCATTGATACTGAGACCCACAGGACCAGATCTGGAGAAATCAAATACAAGTTACTGAATTTATACTGAACTGCTTCAGTTATGCTGAATTTTAAGTGTACATATTTGCCATTACAAATACAGAGGATGTTGATAAGGCTGTATATTATTAGCATATAAAACAAATGTATAAGAAGCAACTCATGTTTTTGAAATGCAGAATTTTAAGAAGCACCTTAGGCTACACCATTGTATGGAAACCCCAGGGTAGTTTTACTTTAACATCAGATTTATAAATAAATGTTAGAATAAAGAATTTGAGAAGATCTATTCTGGTTGAGAGATGGAGCACACAAAGCAGGTATACACGAGAACCAAGAATGACGCAGACACAAAGAGTGTAGTTCTATCAAGGTACAAAGCTTTATTGTAAGGGGTACATCATATATGGGAAGTAGAGGAAGTGAAACTGTCAGCTCAGCAAAGTAAAGGAAAAAACTTAGTATAGCCAGTTAAGCAAAACACCATGTCTTATGACCATGATCATGGCTGCATCCTTAGGAGGTATAGAGGGCACAGGACAGGGTGTTCTAGAATCTTACAATAAAATAATACTACACTCTAAAAAATGCTGGGTTAAATATAACCCAGCGCTGGGTTAAAAAGGGACAAACCCAGCTATTGGGTTGTTTTGACCCAGCGGCTGGGTTTGTCCCCTTTTAACCCAGCATTTTTTAGAGTGTACACACAGTAAATTAATAGATTCTGTCTATCTATCTATCTATCTACCTCCTTTCAGGCAATAGACCTGGTAAAGAATCTCTTGGCATATCTAATCCATCCTGTCAGCCATGTAAACATTTCAAATATGGCCTCTTTTGAATAAATGGTACACTCTAATGCTGGGTTAAATACAACCCAGTGCTGGGTAAAATAGGGAAAAACCCAGCTGGGTTAAACATTTAACCCAACCGCTGGGTCAAAACAGCCCAATAGCTGGGTTTGTCCCTATTTAACCCAGCGCTGGGTTATATTTAACCCAGCATTTTTTAGAGTGTAATTTATGCATTCATAGAAATAAATAATTACTTGTGCTCTCTACGTTGGAGGAGTTTTCCATGTGTCTGAACAGTTTGAAAGGAATGCCAGAACATAACATCAGCCCCGCCCCCACTTGTATGTGCATAGAAATCACCCATTGATAATGTCTGTTTGTAATATAAACAACAAAAGATCGAAACAACAGAGCCATCATGTTTAACTGAGATGCTGAAAAGCCTCTTTGTCTCATTCAAATAGTTCTCTTTTTCTCCTCATTCATTATGATGATGTCCGAGATCTTTCTGTAAATTGGCA